CCTCCTATGTAGGGAGAATGCACCTTTCGACTACAAACTGAAATTCTAATTTATTTCAAAGGGAAGAATTTGCACAGTAGAACACTGAATCCCCTGCCACTGAACAAAAAAACAACTGTGAACTAAGTTATTAACTTGTTATTTTTGCCTAAGGAGCTGAGAGAAATATGTGGATTTCAGGTGTCTAATTTCAGATCTAATTGAAATCTTTTTGGTACACTCTTTGGGAATAGAACTTGCACACTATTAGAAAAACTGCCAGTTTCCCTAAAATTGCCCATGTGACTTACTCTTAACTGAGCGGGTGTTAAGGAAAGAATCATTTTCATTCATAGGACTGCACCTCCAAATTAAGGGAAAAGAAGTTAATGCTCATATCAATAACAGCAGCATTTAGCTGTAGGTTATTTTGCAGAGAAATGGTATAAATAAACTGTCTGGAGAGGAGAACTTTAAAAGTCTATTAAGAATAGGCAAAGCAGTCTTTACACAGAAATGGTTCGTAATATTCAAGCACATCAAAGAGCTCATCCTCTCTGCCCTTCACAGATGACCTTTTCTTCCCTTGCTTTTGAATTAAAAGCATGCAGTTTTCACCTCCCTAAGGTGAACTCTTTTTGCCCAATAAAGCTGGTTGAATGTTCTCAGATTCCTTGGAACACAATAAGCAAGACACAAATAGAGAACACAAGGTTTCTGGAGAACACCTGACTTCAATGGTAAAACACATATATCTAAAACCTCAAGCTAAAATCGTAAATTTAATCGTACCAGAATTCATGCAAAGGTTGGGTGAATGCTTAAAAAAATCAATCAGAAAGCAATTATTAAGTGCCTGTTCTACGTCAAGACCTTTACATAGACAGAAATTAATAATCAAATAAAGTATTTATATAGCACTAAAGTTTGCAAATGAAAAATCCTTGCCCCCAAGGAGTTTATTATGTATGACAACATGTACCCCCCCCATTTGAGAGAGAGAGAGAGAGAGAGAGAGAGAGAGAGAGAGAGAGAGAGAGAGAGAGAGAGAGGACAGGGCACTAATAGGGAGGGGAATCATAAAAGGCTTCATTTAGAAGATGATGCCTCAATTGAATTTTAAAAGAAACTAGGGATTCTAGGAGGCTGAGGTGAGGAGGGAGCACATTGGGAGGACAAACTATGTGCAAAAGCCCAAGAAATGGAAGGTACAACGTCTTGTCTGAGGAAACAGTGAAAAGATCAGATTGGCTGGACCCCAGAATGTATGAAGGGCTATGTCTCATAAGGCTGGAAAGGTAGTTTTGAGCCAGATTTCACAGGTCCTTAAATGCCAACAAAAGAGTTTATACTTAATCCTAGAAGCGGTTGTGGGTGACATGGTCAGACCCGGGCTCTGGGAAAATCCCTTCTGTGGCTTTGTGGAGGCTGGGTTGGAGAAGGCAGAAAGGTGAGCCAAGAAGACCATTGGAGGTCACTGCTATGGACACAGCTGGCTGCCACCTCTCTGGGCTTCAGTGTTCTAGTCTGAAGAGCTGGGGTAACAAGAACTGCACCTCTACCTCCCTCACAGGGTTATTGTGGGGATCAATGGAGATAGGACATGTACAATTCTCTGGAACTATAAACAACTATGTAAATATGCTGTTGATATTATTAACACTCTTGGCTTAATGTGAGCACATATCTCTAGTCCTGATCAGCTCCCAGGACTTCAATCACCATCTGTCCTGATGATTCTCAAATCTACCTCTCCAGATATCACAAAGTGGATGTCCGTGGGACATCTAAAACTCAACATGTCCCAAACTGATTTCATTATGTTTCTCCAAAAACCTTCTCCTAACTTCCCTGTTCCTGTCAAGGGTGTCACCATCCTCCCAGTTACCAAGCTCACAAGCTACAAGTCATCCTCGCCTCCTCTCCCACACACACAGCCCTGACCCCGCCACAGTCGGTCTGGTGCCAAGTCCAGTCAATTTTACCTTTGTAACATCTGTCAAGGCCAGCCCCTTCTCCCTTCTGCTCTGCCGCCATCCCAGAGTAGGCCCTCTCTACCTCGGTCTCTCCGTCAAGCTTGTCCTCCCTCCAGTCCACCCTCTCCTCAGCTGTCAAAGTGAACTTCCTGAAGAGCGGGCCTCACCACGTCACTCCTCCGCCAATCCATCCTACGTGATGCTGCCAAAGTCATTCTCAAACACAAATTCGGTGAGGTGACTCCTGCTCAATCAAATTCAGGGGCTTCCTATTCCTTGAGGATAAAATATCAAATCCGCTGCGGCTTTTAAAGCCCCACACGACGTGGCCCCAACCCCTACTGGCAGCCTCACTGGACATCAACCCCCCTCCCACACTGCAATCCAGTCCAACCAACCTTCTCTCTAGTTATCACATATAACACTGCATCTCCCACCTCCACGCCTTTGAAGCTCTACCTCGGAATAAACTGACCAGTATCTGCGCTGGAATACATTCCCTCCTCAGCTCTGCCTCATGCACCATCTTCTGAATGAAGCCTTTCCCAAGTCCCCCCCTCCACAAGTACCAGTGACCTCCCTCCCCAAATGCCCTCTGTTTAACTGCTTCATGTACATCTGTGTTTATCCGCTTCATACTTATGGTATCTCTATCTAACCTTAGTTGTTGGGATTGTTTCATTCTCTGGACTTGTCCCCTCAGTGCCTAGCACAGTGCCGCCCCAGAGCAGCTGCTCAGTAAGTACATATTTATTGGGTGATTCCTAGAGTTCTGTGTTTACATCATTGAAAGGGGGTTACAGATTTGTTCTCCCTTCCCTAATATTTAGCAGGATCGGTTGGATAGTACATCCAGATACAAATCATTTTGCCCATCACGCCAAGAGATATTACCAAAGTGCAAGAAATGTTTACCTAATTTTGAGAGATTTACATTATTTTTTTTCCTGTTGGAACATGAAATCAGAGAGAATCAGGTGGAGCTTCTACAACATTTAACATCCTCAGATCTTGCAACTACCTCACTTCTGTAATTCTTGTAATGAGAACCGACAAATGCTGGTGTTCTTTCACAGACAACGTGAAGCCCCAGAAGAAGGTGGCAGGTGCCAGAGGGGAAAAGGGCAGAATAGTCAGTGGAGCTTCTGTGGAATGCCTCACAGAGGCATTGTGGTACAGCCTTCATCTAGAGATATCTGTCCATACACCACAAGTTTGTCAATAATAATAAAAAATAATCATAACTGACACTTACACAGCACTTTGTGATTACAAACACCATATAGCCCTTCATCTTCATATATCCAGCAAGACATATATAAAGAAAAGTACTGCAAGAGAATCATCTTGCAAACCTGAAAGTTTATATATGCATGTATGTACATACATGTGACATATATGTACACACATTTAAATATGCGTGCGTGTATTATGTACATAGAAAGTCATTACTGTAATTCCCATTTTACAGATGAGGGAACTGAGGGTCAGAGAAGTTAAATGATTTTGCCCATCATACCACTGAACCAGGATTCAAAGATGGGTCTTGAAACTCACAGTCCACACTTCACCATGCTGCTAATGCAAGTGTTGTCCATATTCTCTTGCTTTTACGAGAAGTTTCTTTCAAAAAACACTGGTATAAGTACTGAATTTAGCTAGCATTTTATCATCTGCTTGAAGGGCTCCAGAAATACTTCATCCTTTTCTGCCCAACAACTAAAATCATTTTATAACAACTGTCAAAACTCTGTCAGGTGCTATAACCACTTACTGTTCTAATATGTTTTGTAATCACACTTCAAGTCAAGAAAGAGAGACGGCCTATAAAATAAATGGAATCCCGCTGGAAACAACCTTATAATTTGAGCTTCTTGCATCTTGGGGAAGGTAGGAAATTCTTAATTAAGAAATCATACTCAGATAAGGCTGTTTCTACCAACTGCTCTATCAATTGCCTTAACAGTGCAATAGAAGTCCAAAACATCTTAGTCCCTCCCTTGTAATTGGAGTGAGACAAAAGTCCCAAGAGGAAAGGTCAGTCTTAAATTACAATGCATTGATTGCTTCCAACTGAAAGACTGAGCTTCATAATGCAACCTTTTCACACCAATTGTACACCAATTTGTAGAGAAGATTTTTTAAAATGTTTCACAGTTAAATTCCCAATGACCACGTACCTCCTACAATCAAGAAATGCTCCTGGGATATTTTTAAGAAACCAAGTAATTAAGGAAACCTTGGGAGCCCAATTTCAGAGATTCTGAGCTGGGAGCAACCTTAGAGATCTCTAATCCAATGCCTCCATATTCAGACAAAGAGCCTGAAGCCAGAGAAGGAAGGTGACCCGCCCGAGATCTCCTGGGTTATCGGTGCTAATCGGGAATACACCCAGGACTCAAACACAAGTCCACCAACTCTGAATTCTGCCCTCTTCCTTCTATGCCACCTTTGCCAAATAAATGCCTTGTGAAAAAGTCTTTCACCTTCCACCCATCAACATGAAAGATGAATAGGGGTCGAGATCTTTCTTGAACCCAAGGGAAAAAAATGGCTCCTTTTGGGGCTTATACAATGACCTCAGACAAATAACTTTGAAGATACAAGGTCTGCAATGGCAAAGTTTTGATGGAACTGCAAAATGCGATAATGAGCAAAAAGTGACCAGATGAAACTAAAGGTAGGCAAGGAAATTGTCTTTTCTATTGAGGAGTGTCCAGACCAGACTGACTCACAGCACAGTGCTGTGAGAATAAAGTGAAAATCAGTTCCACAAAAGAACATAACAGCACTAAATGTTTCAAAAGAAATAAATAAGTTGAATATAAATGGCAGTGAGGAGGACTGATGAAGCAACTTTAGTTGTAAGCATCCATAAAGACAGAGGGAAAATGTAAAAACCTTCAAGTCCATCCAGTGATGTGGCAAAAAAAGAAAAGTAGAAAGCCCCAGAATCCTTGCAATCCCTATCAGTCCCACCCCATCCCATGCCTCTGCATCTGATCCTGTGGGAGACAGAAGTGAATGCACTTCAGGGAAGGGTACCTCCTTCAAATGCCTGCATGCCAGTTGTTCTGCTGAACAAGTCTTCGGTTCAGAGTGAGAATGCTGGTCAAAAGAAGGAACATAGCCTGAGACAGAGAAACGCACCTCCTCTTCTACCTCTCCTGGAAGCAGCAGCAACTCTGAGGAATAAAGAAGAAAGAAGAGTTTACCGAGTACATGACTTTGCTAAATCATCTACCAGCCAATAACATTCAAAACAAGCCACCAAATAGACACTACACACAGGCAAGAGGCCCAGTTCAACGTCCATGATTGAATTCTGATGTAAAATTTAAGGTTCTTACCTCAAATGAGGGTCATTTTTACCAAAAAAGAAAGTTATGATCCACATATTTTCTATTGCAAGGTATAAAGTTAGATTCTATTCAAAAGAAGAGGAAGATGTTCTAGGTGGTTTTGTTTTTAAATGATAGAATGGATTATCCTGCTTCCATCTGTCAATGCCTGACACATACACAGTAAGTGCTTAATAAATGCTTATTGATTAATGGATGACACTTTCCAGATAGCACTGAGCCCTGGATCACTACAGGACTCTTCAATGATAGCCGTGGCCACTCAAAAGCGATCAACCGTCCACACAGTTACAAGGAAACAGGTAACAAATGTAAATTGTCCATACTGTAACATTCAAGTTGGGTGAGTAGCTCACTGAGGGAGACATTCAGGAGAGACAGATAGATGGATAGATAGACATAGACAAATATACATATGTACATGTATTTTGTATATGTGAAGTCAACCAGTGTGTACATATGTATACGTATATATGCATACATATAATCATATATTTTCCTATATGTGTATAAGTATATATGTACATAATATGCATATATGTCTTTAAAACATACTGAAAATAGGCAATGAAATGGGCCCAGAACTAAGGAGGAGAAATAAACAATCCATCTATACTGCAGCATTTTCACGTACCCCAGGCTTCTCCTTGATGAAGAAGCACATCTTTTTAACATATTTTCCCAGTGATACTCATGCCTAGAAATCACAAAAACAAAAAATCTCAGAAGATTCAAAATCCAGGTGACCCAAAAGACAATGGAAAGACACATGGTGAATATACACAGGGTGTGACTTAAACCAATGGTAATCTATATTTGAGAATCACTTCCCTCCCCCCAAAAATGCCCAGCATCAACAAAGACGTGTATTACCAGAAAAGGAACTGGGCCAGTCTTACAGCCAGAGCAGGGAATGACAAATGGACAGCTGTGATCCACTATTTAAGATGAAAACAATACCCCAGCAGAAATGTGCCTCCAGCACACTATGGAGGATCTATGGCAGGCCATGCACAAGAATCAGATAGCCTCAAAAGACATGGATTAGTTAAGAGATACATAGGAAGAAGGAGGCTTCACGCTAACAGCCGCATCACAGTAGAAAGATATTTCATTTGGAGAGGGAGGGAGGAGGATTTTCCTTAATTAGTGTATACTCTTTCCCCTGTTTGCCCTCTAGTTCCCCTCTTCCCGCTCCCAAAGAGAGAGACAAAGTAAGAAAGGGAAACAGCGTGCTGAATTCATCATGCAACAATCTGGCAATCTCTCAAAAAAGACAATGCTGAAAAATAAGAAAGGCAGAAGGAAAGTATTTTAACTTTCAGCAAAAAGAAAACTGTCATATTCAAAATGCATGGTCTAATTTTTAGCTCTAGCAAATAACTGAAACATGCTTTTAGCTTCTTTATCATAGTCTTCAGAATCAGCAACTGCTATTCATTTCCCAACACATCCAACATAAGTGAATTGTTTCCTCTTATTTCTGCACAGGACCAGCAAAGCTGCCATAATGGGAAAATGTGTACATTTCAGATAGCTCTCAAAGAACCGTGGAATGTCAGAGTTGGGACTTCAGGGGTCATAGGGTCTATCCTCTTCCAGGGCAGGAACTCTCTTCACAACATCCTCAGCACCTTGCCATCCAGCCATTCTTCAAGACCTCTGATGACAGGAAACCTCATTCTCATTTCAGATGGTTCTAAATGTTGGGAATTTTTTTTCTTTTATCGAGAAAAAATCTGTCTCTCAGCAACTTTCATTCATTGTTCCTACTTTCTCCTCTCTGGAACTAAGTAAGATGAGAGAGAATGAAAAACAGAAATGGTTTTCTTCCTTGTCTTGAGTTTCGCTGGAAGAAGTCAGGTCCACAGGACATATCCAATGATTCACAGCTGGCCAGGATAATACTGCCACGCTAGAGGATGATCCTAATTAAGCCACTAATTAAGTTTTTGGAGAAGGTGATTAATGAAGAGGAATGCCTTAGCTGCTGCCAATGACAGCATGAAAAGGGAGAGAATGGAGCAAGTACTGATACCGGAATTCAGAGACTTATTTGAAATGCACCTTGCTTTCCACCATGAGAACAGCTTTTCCAGTTGTGCAATGACATGGTCCTCAGATGCCAGACCTCGGGGCACAGCTAGTGTGGGTTGGTAGCCTGGGCCAACCTGCTTTCTTTGGATTTGGGCAGGGCTGTAGCACTTCTGCTTGTCTTTCTTTCCTTTTCTCTTCATGCTAGCTCAGTGCAAGGCAGTTGGGGTGATCCAAAAGTAGAATGAGCTGTCTCACTACCAGGGTTAGTCAAGCAGTAGGTGTAAAAAAGATTCCTGTTTGGGCCCGAATCAAACCGAGCAACATCTCTGAAGTCCCATGCAACTCAGAGAGCCAGGCAGTGCCATCTGTCTACAAGTGCTGCTCCTGGGACCGACTGAATAAAATGTCATATAAAGTCAGGGATTCTTAACCTGCGGACTATGAACTTTTTTAATAGGTTGATAAACATATTTCAGAATAATTGATTTCCTTTGTTATCATTCAAATAAATGTCAGTTTAAGAAGCTGGCTTTTTTATAAGCCCGAGTCATATATCCAAGGCTCAAAAGCACCACCATGCTGGATGGCATGAAATTGATTAGGAACAACACAATCCCAGCAAAGAGCCAATGACTGTAGGACTACCAAGAGAAATGATCTTTTATTTTATTTTATTTTTGGTGAGGCAATGTGGGTTAAGTGACTTACCCTGGGTCATACAGCTAGGGCCAAGTGTCTGAGGCCAGATTTGAACTCAGGTCCTCCTGACTCCAGGGCCAGTGCTCTATCCACTGTGCCACCTGGCTGCCCCCAGAAATGGTCTTTTAAAGAAAAAGGCCAACACACTACTATAGAATGAGTGCTGGGCACGGAGTCAGAGGACCTCAGCTCAACCCCCAACTCTTCGACTTATGTGATGTGTGACCTTCTAGGTCACAGATGTGATTTAAACTTTCTGGGCCTCAGTTTCTTCATACGTAAAATGGAGGCCAGAATAGAACCTATCTCACAGATGGTTGTGAGGATCAAATGAGATAGCATTTGTGAAGCACTTAGCACAGTGCCAGGCACACAGCAGGCTCTGTGGAAATGCTTATTCCCTTCCATCCCCCTTCCCCAGATTGTATTGCTCAAGATCTAGACCAGAGGTGTCAGACATGTGGCCAAGGGTTTGGATGCCTGTTTTGGGTTTGGTTTGGTTTGCCCAGGGTCACACAGCTAATAAGTGTCTGAAGCAGAATCTGAACTCAGGTCTTCCTGAGGTCAAGTTCCCTATGCTATCCAGCTCAGGTCCATCACACCATCCACTGAACACTTAGCTTCTCACACAGAAAAGGCTACTTTTTCCAAAACAGGCAGCGAGTGGAGGCTTGACCAATTTAAACTGCTTTGGAGTAAAAAGACTCAACCACTGAGGGGCCCATTACTACAGAGAGTTGTTATTGTTACCCTTTTAAAAGTCAGAAATTCTGAAACAGATAAAGTTTATTTTTAATATATTTATTTGTGATTGCTGCAAAAAAGGATGAGACAGCATATAAAATGAAAATACATAGAAAAAGGACAAATTTTCATTTAAAATCTTCACCTAGTAATTTGAAAAGTTCCCTCTAGCTCCTCCCCATCCTCTCCTGATAACATGTGACCAAGAGCTATCTCTCAGTATGCTAAGTGCCTAGCCCTTCCTATCTGTCTAAATATCTCCTCCTGAGTTAAAAAGAAAAAAAATAAAAAGGAAAAGAAAGAAATGGATGTAGGTGATATTAAAACCATTTCTGAACAAAATCAAGGCCTCCAAGACGTGTGGACCAAGCCTGTCCCACAAGATGAAAAATGTGCACTTGGACCCAGACTGTGCCAGGGAGACTCATTACAGAACTAGGGGCAAAGTATGCAAGCTTTCTATTTCTTCTTCTCCAGAAGTGTGGCTGGGCATACCTCTCAAAGGGAATGCTTAAGGAACGGCTATTTAGGGACTCCAGAACGTACGATGATAGATGCGATGCTCTTTTGAAACTTATCATCTATCTGGGTGTTCCACATATAATTAATTTGATACCCAATTTGTAGCAAACAATGTCTAGAAACCCCTAGACATTTCACCTTTTAAAGCCTTCAAAAATTCATCATGAGGGAAGGATTTTTTCCTAATATTTTCAATTTTGTACTGGAGATAAAGTAATTGAACCTTTCTTTAAGCAGTGAAAAAACAGATTTATAATTCAACACACATTTATTAAGTGCCTACTGCAAACAAGGCTGTCTATATGCAGGAGCTAGGGATATAAAGACCAAAGAAAGCAATAATCCCTGCCCTCAAAAAGCTTATATTCTACAGATCTTTTGAATAGTCCTAAAAATATAATGTAGCCACTATTTGCATAGGGCAGATAAAGGGGAAGAATGCCATGAATATGCTAAGCTGCTCTGAGTTGTAAATAGCAGTTAATAAGCAGTAAAGAGAAGGTAGTCCTCAGCTTTCACATCTCTGGTAATGATGGTACATGTTGGCATGAAAAGGTAACTGGACTGGTGACATTATCAATAAAGAGAATCACACTACATGGCTGGGAGGACTAAGGCGTGCTACATTCCCACCACAGACAGTGCCAGGTTCAGGCTTCCTGCCCCGCTCTGGTCCAGCAGGGGGATCCACCATTCATATGCACCCGATGGACCACTGAGTTATATAAACCACCAGAACTCAGGGAAGTGGGCCTCAAAAGAAAAGCAGTTCATCTCAGCCAGAGCAATGGCTGGGCCAAGCCAGAAAGGAAGCAAAAACAGAGAAGAAAAGAAGAGATCTTCTTCCCTTAAATGGCTTCAGGAAAAGACTAGCTTTTACTGCAAATAAGGATTGTGCTGGACACTATTAGCCAGCTTGTCTGCAGCATGTGTGACCATTCTATAATCCCCGATACCATCGGGTTAACTAGTCTGCCTTGAATCCAAAAAGGAAAAAGCAGCTCTGGCTATGTCCAAACCAATGCAGAACACAGAAATCTGGCACTGATGCTCCCCACCTTCAGCACAGCTTCAGGTGACTGACTATACAATGACCCTGGCCTGAGGTGGTTTGTGTTCATGCTCCCTCTGGACCAGAGAATCCAGAAAGGCAAAAAGAGAATCATGAGCCTGAATGCGGAAAATATTTTGTGACTGGGAAAAAGTAAAGGGTGGAAAAACAACATGCAAGCCATTTCTTTGTCACCCCAGGCAAAGCTGCTGCTTAAATAATAACAACAGAATCTAATCAGCCAGCCTTCCAGATGCCAAAATTATTCAGTCAGTTGCCTATTTAAAATGTCCCCATCTGAAATAAATATCTGCCTTCTGCTCAGATTCCTGAAGGGTACAAATGAGGTTCAAACAGCAATTCCCCTGGGTGCAGGTTATTTATTGTTTTCAAATGACCCAAGCTGTGCATTAAGGAAACCACCCAAGCCCTAGTGGTCTTTTTAATCATTGTAAAGGTTTAGCAGCACCTAGTTCACTTTTCAAAAGTTTTTTTCCAAAGTTCTTCCCCCAGGGTGGAAAACTTGTGACTCGCTTATTCCAAGCAGTTGAGACTTGGGCCAATCCCAATGGTTTTGCCCCACAATTGCAGAAAGCCTCTTAGCTGCTTCCAAGAAGGATCATGGCATGACGGCCTCTTTAGGAAAAAACAAGGATGAATAAGCTAAGAGAGCAGCTTATGAAAGAAAAGAACTCCTAAATATTTTGAGGCAACTTGGAAAGAATCAAAAAGGCAAAAAGGACATTATTTGTAATGATAATGACAATAAATAATAGCTAGCCTATACCTAGTATATTCAGGTTTGCAAAGCACCTTATAAATATTATCTCCTTCGATCCTCACAACAATCCTAGGAAGTAGCTATTAACATCCCCATTTTACGACAGAGGAAAACTGAGGCAGACAGAGGTTAAGGGGACTAGCCTCATGGTCACACTGCTAGGACATATTTAAGGTCGAATTCAAATCCAGATCTTCCTGACACCTGGCCCAGCGCTCTGTGCACTGTGGTGCCCCCTAGCTATTTTGTGCATATGTGATATAACCTAAATCAAACAATGATATCATATTTAATACAGCTAAACTGTTGCCAACACCAATCAACAATGATCCTCTCATTACTGGCAGGAAATAAAAACCAGAAAGTCTGTCTTATACTTTTATCTACATTATCATGCCCTCCAAAAAGTTAAATTGTATCTGATAGCAGTGATAATAACACATATTTATCTAGTGTTCATGGTTACAATGCACATTATTACAATATATAGTACATCATTGATCTTTACCTCACATCCACTCTGAATTGGGTATTCTAAGTGTATAATCCCCATTTTATAAATGAGTAAACTGAGGCCCAAGGTCTCAGAGCTAATGCTGCTTCTGATTTCTGAGGTGACCTGGTCCAGAGACTGACTAGAAATTGTGAAAAACTTGCACATCTAAATCAAGTGTTCAGAAAACAGGAGCTTTTTCAAAGTGTTAATATTTTGAGACAGTCATGGTAGGTAACTTTCTCAAAAGGCATTAAGATCTTCCAGGAAATGTGGATGTCTAAGATAAGCCTTAAGGTCCAGCAAATCTCTGATAACAGGAAGGACATTCATCCTGCACCCTGAACTAGAACTCTGATTACTCAAGTAGTTTTGTTAGTTCAAAGTTTATTATCTCCATGGAAAGCAGAGAAATAAGAGGCCACCTCTAGGTCTGCTAGTTTTTGAGAAAAATCCAACAATGAGAGCAAGAGAGAAAGCATACCTGGGCCCAACTTGTGGTCAGTTTCTTCATCCATGTCAAAATCTTCCAAATCTAGAAAACTGTCTACCTGGGAGGAAAAAAGTCAAGCCTATTTAGACAGACAGACAGACAGACAGACAGACACACACACACACACACACACACACACACACACACACACACACACACACACATATTGGACCAGAGAGGAGACAGAGAGGGAGGGAAAGGAGGGAGGGAGAGAAAGACAGAGAGAAACAGGAGGGAATGAGAGAGGGAGAGACAGATGAGAGACAGACAGAGACACAGAGACAGAAACAGAGACAGAAAGACAGAGAGAGAGAGACAGAGAGACAGTTATTAAGTGCTTACTCTAGGCAAGAATAAAGAAATGCAGCTGAATCAAGTTTCCCAAATGAGCAGCAGAATCTATTTTCTCCTCAAATTTTGAGGCAAAGCTAGAAGTCTTCCTGTTCAGTCTGCCTTTCCTAGAGATGCACAGTAGCACTCTGGAGCTGTAACACAGCCCAGGTGGTACAGGGGCTCAAAATTCCTTTCCAGGCTGTCCTCCCAACTCTCGGACTTTCTCTAGCATGTCCCAGAAGCCTCTTCACCCCGGAAGCTCACTGCACCCCTGGACTTCCCCCTTTGGCAGCATCCTGCACCCCTGCAGCCTCTCCTCATTGTCTCCTTCCTCCCAGAACCTCCGTTTTCAGGACAACGCCCAAGAAAGCACAATCTTCACTCCTCTGCAGGCCTCCCTCCTGACTCCACCAGGCTTCCTCCACTGCTCCTCTCTTCCTTCCTCGTCCCTATCAGCTTACTCTGATGTGTTCTCTTCCACCATTACAAGGTAAGCCCCTTGAACCCAGGACTACCTTTCTCCCTACTTCTCTTTGCTTTAGCACATGGCACATGGTAAGTGCTTAATAAATGCTTGCTGACTTAGTGACTTGACAAATAAAACCTTCAGGGTACATCTGCACTGAAGAAAAAACCTTGACTCCTTTGCAGGAACGGGCCACCTGAACCTGCCCCGGCCTGGGCGCTGCCAAGAGGACGTGCTTGGGGAGAAGGGAGATGCCCTTGGAAGTGCCTTTCAGCTCCTCAGCTAGGATCCTCTGGGGTCATTTGTAATTTGGCAAAGGCAGCATGGAATAGGAGACGCAGTGCTGGGCCTGGAATCAGGAATCCCATCCTCAGACATTTATCTAGATGAGGGGCCCTGAGAGCTAGGAGATCCCTCAAGATGGCGTGAGGATCTATAATGCAGGCACCTCAAAGCACCCTCTAAATGGGAGCTCCTGTTCTTGTATTTGGGTTCTGTCTAGGTCTATGGGAACTAGGCTAACAATCAGAACCCACCGTGCAGGGAGGAGGGGGATGAAGAGCTGGAAATCTCGCCACTGGAGGGGGTGGGAGCCCCACAGAGCACCAGTTATCTGTGCTGCTAAGTCTAATAGATCTGCCAAAGGTCCCTGAGCCTCCACAGTGCTCTCCTCGAGTACTCTGAGAAGGAAACAGAAGGCAGGGGAGAAAAAGATAATAATGGCTAGCATTTACGTAGCACTTTGGTTCTCACAATAACCCTGTGAGGTAGGTGCTATTATTATCCCCATTCTGCAGATGAGGAAACTGAGGCTGAGAAAGGGAAAGTGATTTGCCAAGAGTCAGCAGTTAAGGAAGCCTCTGAGGCAAGAGATCTGCAAAACAAAGCATCCTGCTTCAGGAACATAATGTGAAAGATGAGGAGCTAAAACAAAGCAAAACAAAACATTGTTCTCTCCCACAAACACAACTGAAAATGTCCTTAAAGTAAAATGCAGAGCATGTGACCTTTACAGGCATAATGGCAGCACATCACTGAAAAATAAATATCCCAGGTGAAATATGACCTCTCTCAACACACAGGCCAAATGGGAACATTTCAGAGCCCGGCTAATTCACTTCAGGGGAGCATCAGAGGGTGTAAATGATCCAATCATCTCACCAATAGCAAGCATGAGACTTGCTATTGGTGGAGGAGTAAAAGCTAAAAACCACCCCAGTACCTCCTTGAGTGACAGCTCATGCATGACAAAGTGCTTTCAAAGGGCAGTCCTGCACCTCACCATGAGTAAAAGGCACAGCTTCTTTCTCATCAGCCCACCATTTCCCAGACAACAAGAAGAGGTTACTTCAAAATCCTGAAAACTAGCGTCCCCGATTTTTTCTTCCCATGCTTAACTGTAGCCATTTGTTGGCATTCAAAAGGCAGCCCCCTCTATTTATTCTCAATGTAGATGCTTTGGGGAATAGTTTAGGCATTTGTCGGTCTTCTGCATTTCTCACTCAGTATATTCTACGGGGAACAAGACTCACTTTTCTCTATAACAAATAACCCTTCTATCTGCCAAGCATCTAGGAGGGAGGGCCCTCAACTCAACCCACCCCAACCCAAAAACAAAATGTTGTTGTTCAGTGGTTTCAGTCGCATCTGACTTCACGACCCGGTGTGGGGTTTTCTTGGCAAAGGTACTGGAGTGGTTTGCCATTTCTTTCTCCAGCTCGTTTTACAGATGAGGAATTGAGGCAAACAGGGTTAGGTCACACAGCTAGTAAGTGTCTGAGGCTGGATTTAAACTCAGGCCTTCCTAATTCTAGGCCTGGTACTCTGTCCACTGGGCCACCTAGCTGCCCAAATACAAAATAAAGATCATTAAAACAATAAAATGATGAAAACTACTTATGCCCCTGAGTGTGCCTGAGATTAGGCAAAGGAAATCTGTTACATGATGGATGAAAAAACAAAAATAATGTCTCACCTTCACCTTTCCGACCCGATTTCGGTCGCCTTGAGTGGAAATGCCAACTTTCTGTCCTTCATCGATAGCGATCTGTAAATATGGCAAGAATACAAGATGGGAAAGGAAACAGCGCAAAGCCAGGTATGGCCTGGAGAGCACTAGCCTTCCCTTCTCTTCCCTGCTTATTAGAGGTGCCTGATGGACCCATTCCACCACAGAGCATCAGAATCCACAGGAAGGGGCTTCCTGAGGCCTGGCTGCTATTTCTGTCTCCCCTAACTCATCCACAGCAGAAGCAAGGCTCAGCTACTTAAACTCAGTTTCTCCTGTGTACAATGGGAATAACACACGGAATGCTGAAAGAACAAAAGAGAGAATGTTGGTTTAGGCTTTTCAGCTCCTCAGAGAACATGGCTACTTGGGTCTCTCCAGGGTCAACCCAAAGTCCTTCTCCCTAAAAGCCACCCAAGGGCCTAATGCAGTAATCCAAGGGCTCTAGAATTCCTAGGAGCCAAGGGCATGCATTGTCATTAGAAATCTGTCCCTTCTCCTTCTTCTTCCTCCCTACCTCCTGTACTGGGGTGGGGGGGTGGGGGGTGGAAGGAGGTAGGATAATAACTACTGCTTCATTTAAAAAGAAAAGAAAGAAAGAACTCTGCATCTACCAAAAAAAAATGACTTTAAATCCCATGAGCTCTCACTGGCCTAGGTTCTGGTGCTAAATAAATAAATGAAGGTCATTGCTGTAATTTAGAAAACAGCTTTTTTTCATACAGCCTTCTTTTCTAATCCTTTACAAAACCGCCCTGTGGTCACAGCTAGACCACTATACACCATCCTGGCCACCAGGTTCCAAAACAGGGAAAGAAAATGCAAACTAACACACTTAAAGAAAGAAACCTTCTTGGCAAATTGACAAAAGCATGAAGAATATGGATTTGGTTGCCAAATCTGGACATGGTAAAAATTAAGTTTGTCCTTTGAAGCAGGTAGTTTTAAGACCACAAAAAAGTGAGTTTCATTTTCTACTCTAGGTTACTATTACAGTAGAACTCATTACTCTAAGTAGAAGTACAAGTACAAATTAATTAATGTTCAAGAGAAAATCCTGCATGGGAGAGATTTTGGAGGAAGTCTAGGGGGCATCCATAACCACTGGCAATCGACAACTTAGAGCAGAATAAGAACTTCTTTGTTTCTGTCCTGGCCACCCGGCTGGTGAGACCTAGGCACCTTTTCTCAGAATAATGTTACAAAATGTACAAAATAGAGGTGGCTTAGGTCAGTTGTGCCACCACCCACTCTGCCCTAGAACTCCACAACCAAAGTCACCAGGCTGCAGACATCGCCAAGGACTACACCAGAACCCTGTGAAGGCCCTGGACTTTCGTGGGATCACAAACCAAAGGAGTCCTGTTAACTCCCCTCACGCATTCATCTAAGCCTTTCTGGGTCTCCAATCACAACTGAAGCAGCCAGCATGGGGTGACAGTCAACACACTGAAAGAACTCATTGGCAAGACCCTGGATGCCCTAGTAATTGCTACCGGGCTGGTTACCTTAGTGTTGGAAGACGATGGCACAATTACGGATACCGAAGAATTCTTTCAGACCCCAGGAGATAATACACATTTCATCTTGGGAAAAGGACAGAAGTGACACTAGGTCCTAAATATGTTACTCAGAAGCAAAAAAAAGTCTGGAATAGCAAGAGTCACTTTTGACTTGTATAAGAGGGATCGCAAAGACTTCCTTGGATGCTTAAACGTGAAAGCCACCATGTATGAGATATATTCTGTGTCCTGTGACATCAAACGTACATCTGCAAAGCTGTGCTGAGGCACTTCTTGCGGCTCATGTCCTATGCTGCCCAAGTGACCAGACAGTTTCTCATCTACACCGGGAATTACATTCTACATGTGCTTTTTCACACTGATGATTCTACTCCTCCTCTGAAACCAAGACCCAAGGGCTGGCTTCTACAGGGGGCAGTGCCTTGCATTAAAGGGACTGTAGCTGGCTCCTTTCATTCCCTGCCCAATGTTAACTCTTAAATGCCTGGTTTCAGGCTTGCCACCTTATATTCTTAGATGCATCATTCGCAGAGAGTTGGTCACCTCAACTCAATACTAATGATGCAGGTACAAGTCAGCTATGTCCAGCTTTTTGTTTCCTGGGAAATTCCTTTAAGCTAATGACCCTGGAAGAAAGGGTACTCACAATACGCTTTGGTGTCTTACTCACCGCAGTAGACAAGGCCCTCCATTTATCCATATGTGTGTCTCTGAAAGCCAGCTTACATGTGAAATCACACCTCTAGCAGGCAAATGTAGGAAAAGTACTGATGCCATGAAAGAAATAAAGAACTGGCAAACAGTAAAAGAAAAATAAAATAAAATGTATAAAATACACTGTACGGGATTACAAAGAAAGCCAATTATATGGAAATAAAGTTAATAATTTTTTTTTAAGAAAGAAGCTCACAGACTCAAAGTTAAGAGCTCTAGCTTTAGAAGACAACCATGTGAGAGTAGAACATTTTGCAATCCCAATTAGTCCATCAGAGAGCCCTTTATGAAGTCCCTGGCGTGAGCCAGGGACCAAACAAGGAATTAAGAACTCAAAGACATGGAGCACCAAGGTGGCGCAGTGGACAGAGTACCGGACCTGGATTCAAATCCAGCCTCAGTCACATAACACTTACTAGCTGTGTGATCCTGGGCAAGTCACTCAACCCTACTGCCTAACCAAAAAAAAAAAAAAAAGAATTCAGAGACACAGATGAAACAGTCCAAATGCTCAAAGAGCTCACATACAGAATATACACAAAAGAAAGACCAGGTACAGGCAGAAGGAAGGCACTTGCAGCCAGGGGAAGAACCAGGAAAGGTTTCATGGAGAAGGCAGGATGGAGCTGAGCTTTTGAAGGGAACTAGGGACTCCCAGAGGCAAAGGGCATTCCAGCCATGGAGGACAGCCAGTGCAAGTCCTAGTGATGGGAGCTGGAGTGTGGCATGTGAAGTACATGGTGTAACAGAAGGACACACAAGTTAAGAATCAGATCTGAATTCTAATCCCAGTTCTGACACTTACTAGCCATGGAACCAGATACAAGGAATTTCCCCTATTCAACCCCTTGGTTTCCTCCTCAGTATGATCGACTGTCATGCTTACAGACCTTCCTTCCAAGGCTGTTGTAAGGAAGAGGCTTGACCCAGAACAGGGCTGGGCAGGCCCCTCCCGAAGCAGTCCTGGCTGCACCTGTCATCCATGCCAGTGCCTGCCGGGGGTGCTGCTGGACCCCGATCAAAGCTCACCTTTGGGCTACCACTTGCCAACATGCAATCTCCCTGATCCTCCCCTGACCACCGGGAGGGTGACAGATGCCATGGCTAGCTGGCTCCCACGCTACGTATCTGAAACGGGGTCTCCGATAACACTGACCTGTTACTGAGGACAAGTCCTATTATTTCTGTTTAACCGATGAGAACACTGAGGGTCAAGGACAACCCCAGGCCCTCCGGCTCAGGTGTTCTGACTGAGTCCACAGATAAATGGAGGTGCTCGTGGCATTACCTGCTCTTCCTCTGGAGGCTGTGCTATAGGATGGAGAGAAAGGCACTCATTCCTGATGCTCTGAGCTCCAGGATACACACCCGTGGCAAAGCTGCTTCCTGAGGAGTCGGCTCCAGGAGTTCTGTTCCTGATCACTTGATGATCTGGAAGAATAAATGATTTTAAGTCAGAGACCTCCTCCAGGCCCCATGTACAAGGAATTCTTTTGTTATGCAGCACCTTTCTTCCAAACATTTATATGTGCTTGGTAAGAATACCACTTAGGGTATGAATACATCTTACTAATTCTACTGAATAGGTAAGGAAATAAAAGTATGTGAAGAGACTGTTTGCTCTTGTCATAAGGAAACAACATAACTAAACTTCCCTCCTGGGATAAGAAAGCAGAAAGCACAATCCCTTCCTGTAAGCAAGACCTCATTGCATATGTGCCAGGGAAAGAAAGTTGTTTAGCATATTTTTAGGATGTCTTCCAAGCAAAATGACTCAACAGCCTGACCAGTATGCCCATGCTTACAGGCCTCTATAGTAACAAAAGTGTACCTAACCTGGATTTCTCTTCTCCAGTTGTCAGTGAAACATCTGTACTGACTGAAAAGTGATCTCCAACTATGAGATCACAGAGCCATTGAAGAACTAAAATACAAATCTACTCTAGAAGTAGAAATCAATATCAGTGGCTGCTAGAAATTAACAGCATGATCCAAAGGTGGCCAAACTGTGGTCTGTAGTCAATACCCACAATTCCCTAGGGAAGTGACTCTCAACTCTTACCAAACATTACTGCTACCAAGTCTTCTAAGAGAAACATAAAGGAACACCATTTGATCACTTTGGCCATGGCTGGCAACATGAACCTTTTTTTTTTTAATATGAACACTAAATGAATTTGCATGATCCCTTCTTGAGGGATCATGCTAATTACCTCTGTATCATTCTACTTTTAGTATGTGTGTTGCCAAAGAGAGTATAACACTAATGTTTATTCTGGCAACACAGCTAGAATAGGAACTGTGACTTAAAGAATACAATTACCTATTAGGAAAATTATCAGCATAATTGACCATATCAACAACAAAACTAACAGAAATCATATGATTATCTCAATAGATGCAGAAAAAGAATTTGAGAAAATACAACACCCATTCCTATTAAAAACACCAGAGAGCATAGGAATAAATGGGGTCTTCCTTAAAATGACAAGTAGCACCTATCTAAAACCATCAGCAAGCATTTTATGTAATGGGGATAAGCTAAAAGCATTTCCAGTAAGAGCAGGGGTGAAACAAGGATGTACAATATCACCACTGTTAGTCAATATTGTACTAGAAATGTTAGCTTTAGCAATAAGAGAAGAAAAAGAAATTGAAGGAATTAAAATAGGCAAAGAAGAAACAAAGCTATCACTCTTTGGAGATGACATGATGGTATATTTAAAGAATCCTATACAGTCAAGTAAAAAATTAGTTGAAATAATAAACAACTTTAGCAAAGTTACAGGATATGAAATAAACCCACATAAATCATTGACATTTCTATATGTTACTAACAAAGCCCTACAGAAAGCGATAGAAAGAGAAATTCCATTTAAAGTTACTGTAGACATTATAAAATATTTGGGAGTTTATCTGCCAAAACAAACCCAGGAACTATATGAATACAATTACAAAACACGTTTCACACAAATAAAGCCAGATCTAAATAATTAGAAAAATATCAGTTGCACATGAGTAGGCCAAGCTAATATAATAAAAATGACAATTCTACCTAAATTAAATTACTTATTCAGTGCCATACCAATCAAACTACCAAAATTATTTTATAGAGCTAGAAAAAAGAATAACTAATTCATCCGGAAGAACAAAAGATCTAGAATATCAAGGGAATTAATGAAAAGAAACACAAGGAAAGGTAGTCGAGCTGTACCAGATCTTAAATTTTATTATAAAGCAGCAATCATCAAAATTACTTAGTACTGGCTAAGAAATAAAGTGGTGGATCAGTGGAATAGGTTAGGTATGTAAGACACAATAGCCAATGACTATATTATACATATGTGTGTGTGTGTGTGTGTGTGTGTGTGTGTGTGTGTGTGTGTGTGTGTGTGTGTACACACACACTATCTGATAAATCCAAAGACTCCAGTTTCTGGGATAAGAACTCACTATTTAACGAAAACTGCTGGGAATACTGGAAAAGAATATAGCAGAAACTAGACATAGACCAATATCTTACACCCTATACCAAGATAAAGACAAAAGGCGTACATGATTTAAATATAAAGGCAGATACTATAAGCAAACTAGGAGAGCAAGGAATAGTTTACCTGTAAGATCTATGAAGAAGGGAAGAATTTATGACAAAATAAGAGATAGAGAACATTATGAAATGCAAACATTTTGATTGATTTTGATTAAATTAAATTGAAAAGTTTTTGCACAAAGCTAATGCAACCAAAATTAGAAGGGAAGCAGAAAATTGGGAAATAATTTTTACAGCCATTGTCTCTAATTAAGACCTCAGTTCTAAACTATATAGAGAACTGAGTCAAATTTATAAGAATACAAGTCATTCCCCAACTGACAATTGGTCAAAGGATATGAACAGGCAGTTTTCAGAGGAAAAAATTAAAGCTATCTATAGTCATACAAAAAAATGCTCTAGATCACTATTGATTAGAGAAATGCAAATCAAAATGACTCTGAGGTACCACATCACACCTATCAGATCGGCTAACATGACAAAACAGGAAAATGATAAATGTTAAAGAAGATGTGGGAAAATTGAAACACTAATGCATTGTTGGTGGAATTGTGAACTGATCCAACCATTCTGGAGAGCAATTTGGAACTATGCCCAAAGGGCTATAAAAATGTGGCTTTGACTCAGAAATACCACTTCTAGGTCTGCACCCCAAAAAGATCATAAAAACTGGAAAAAGACCCATGTGTACAAAAGTACTTATAGCAGCTCTTTTTGGGTAGCAAAGAACTGGAAATTGAAGGATGTCCATCAATTGGGGAATGGCTAACCAAGTTGTGGTATATGAATGTAATGGAGTATTACTGTGCTATAAGAGATGATAAGCAGATGGACTTGAGAAAAACTGGAAAGATTTATATGAACTGATGCTAAGTGAAATTAGCAGAACCAGGAGAACATTGTACATAGTAACAGCCACACTGTGCAATGACTGACTTTGATAGACTTAACTGTTCTCAGCAATGCAAGGATCTTAGACAACTCCAAAAGACTCATGATGGAAAAGGCTATCCGCATCCAGAGAAAGAACTTTGGAGTTTGAATGCAGATGGTGAAGTATACCATTTGCTCTCCTTTTCTTTTGTTGTTTTGTTTTGTTTCTTCTTTCTCATGGTTCCTCCCATTATTTCTAACTCTTCTTTATATCATGACTAATGTGAAAATATGTTTAATATGAATGTATAAGTACAGCCTATATCAGACTGCACATCATCTTGGGGAGGGGGGAGGAGGAGGGAAGGAAAATTTAAAACTCAAAATCTTATGTAAGTCAATATTGAAAACTAAAAATTAGTTAATTAATTATAAAAATAAGCCAATTACCTAATGAAGTGACTACAGACTTTTACGTGAACCAGTTCATTCCCAAATCAGACTTTTCAAGGAACTTTTTGGTATAAAGAAAGCTGAGAATTGCTGAAATAAAGGGCATGCTTTTCTCAAACTGAATACAACACTCACCCAGCACCAGATCACTGACAACATAAATAATTAATGATAAGAATAATAACAGAATAAAGACCTGTCCTAGAGCTGTTTTATCAGGACTTCACAAGATGGGATAAATGAGATGATGGTCAACAGGGTAGAATGGAAACAGAGAACCTGAGCCCAAATGTGGGCTCTGCTACTTGCCACCTATATGACTTGGATCAAGCTTATCTATCAATGTTCATCTGTAAAATGAAGTGGCTGGACCAGATGATCTCTAAGTTCCTTCTAGCTCTAAATCTTTCTTCCTATTATCCTAATAGTTCACACTTAGCAAACAATATAAAATTTACAAGATACTTTCTTCACAATTAGCCTGTGATATGTAGTGCAAATAGTTTATCCCCATTCTACAGGTTAGAGGCACAGTGGAGAGAGTGCCAAAGTTAAAGTTAGGAAGACCTAAGTTCAAATCCAGCCTCAGACACTTACTAGCTGCTGTGTGACCCTGGGCAAATCACTTAACCCTGTTTGCGTTGGTTTCCTTATCTGCAAAAATGAGCTGGAGAAGCAAATGGCAAACTACTCCAGTATCTTTGCCAAGAAAATCCCCAGAAAGGATCACAAAGAGTTAGATACGCCTGAAAACAACTGAACAACAACAAATCCTTTGTTTGAAGACGTTCATGACGCTGCAGAGCATTTTCTCGGTCAGATATAGGCTGGACGAGATAACCTCTGGGGTCACTGCTACCTCGAAGATCCTTGATTTTGTTAAGCAGAAATAGTCATCTCTTTTTTGTTTCTATTTTCTCCATCAAGCAGAATGGCCCCCTGGCTATAAGAGATGGAATAAAAGGAGTCAAAGGGGAACCAAAATCAAAGAGAAGCAAAGAAATAATAAGGATCTACCTGGCTGAAATAAACGAACTCCAGTTCTCTGACTCTGATGAAGACCATTCACCCTTAAGGGAACTGGAGAATGTGACTGCCAAGCTACTGTTAATGATTTTTCAGGATTTAGGGGGAAAGAGCGGCACCACAGGACTGAAGATGGGAGAATGTTGCCTTGATTTTAAAAAAAGAGAAGATAGCATATTCTGCAAGCTATGTAAAACAGTTTAACTTCAACTCCTGGTGGACTCCAAGAGCAAATTATTGAACCGATGAGGGTGATTATTTGGAAAGGTAAAGAAGGCTCAAAGATAGCTAGATGCTTTTTGTCTATTTTCCTACCTATCCAGTATCAAATCCTTTGCCTAGAACAGAGGGTCTACAAACCACTGCCCAGGTGCTAAATCCAAGCCCCCTTGCCTGTTTTTGTATAGCATTCCAAGCTAAGAAGATGACTATTCTTAGTATATTAGGCCAAACAAAACCAAAACAGGCAGTGGGCAGGATTCAGCCCAATTTGGCTCCCGGGCCCTAGTTTGCTGAACGCTAGCCTAGA